TTCGGCATCTTGTGCTTACTTCCTTGCATACGGATGACAGCTGCGTATGACTGAATTTTGTTTCTGTTGCTTTCAGTTCCAGAGATAGTTGTAAGCACTGTGTAGCTACCTCGAGGGTGCTTGACCATTTTATCACGACATGGTGCGATCGTCCCCTTTGCGCGGAGTGCAGGTTCTCGGCCCCGCCCAACATGATCTACTCGACCATCATCATGGTTACCGCCAAAGAAAAAAAGAGGTGGAAAAAAAAAAACGGTAACCTGGTTGCCGAGCTCACGAAGTGAATTGGCTTCTTTCACAACGTCGTTGCCAAGCGACGAAAACCCAACCCCGATGGCAAACACCGGGGGGGCGGAGAAGCTGGGGAAGGGTATCAAACATAAATGACAGTTACACAAATGGCATTATAAACCACACCGCCCGGACCTATTCAATTTTCTATTGTCGACTATTCCACATTAGAAACAGCGGCGGTGCCGAAAGTGGCGGCGTTGGAACCGCTTCGCCGACAGCTTTCCGAACACGCGTCATCACATGGTTCGTGCATTTTCTTCGTCATGGAGTAATCGAGCTTTGAAAACCGTCTCAAGGGGTGCGGTATGATACGTATTTCACCTGCGCTTTTTAGCACTGGTTCGCCCTCCCGATCGCCCCCCATTCCCTCTCTCTCTCTTGCTTTCTCTCTTTTCTCTCTCGAATCCAAGAACCGATACTACACCTTCAGGCAGTAGGGTAGTTGAGTCTACAAGGGTCGCGGGTGGGAACGTCGACTGCATTGGTCGTCACTATAACATGAAAATATGATTCACACCCGAAGGATGGCTGGGTTGAAGTATTACTACTCGGCTCCGTCGTAGGCGGATCCCCAGACATACAGCCTACGGCCGTCGTCCCACCGTACGTCGAGGTCCAACTCGACCACAAGATTTGCACCAACACTTATTTTTCCTCCCCGCCCGATTCTCCCGTCCATCGACGGCCACGACACGACTACGCCGGAATGACCCCCGTGAAATCGGGTACAGGCGGAGCCCGGGACTGCGACCACTGGCACGCGGGCGCAGGCTTCGTGACCGCGCACGTCGCCATCACTCTCATGTACGAGCAGGCGTTGCAGGCGGTGAACCCGTCCATCGCGCTACCCTACTGGGAC